GTGACACAGGTGACACAGGGAGGTGACACAGCAGGTGGCAGGGGGTGGTGACACAGGGAGGTGACACAGAGGTGACACTGTGGCTGTCCCAGGGGGTGGTGGGTGACACAGGTGACACAGGGAGGTGACACACAGGTGACACTGTCCCTGTCCCCTCCCAGGGGGTGATGGGTGGCACACAGGTGGCACAGGTGACTCAGGGCTGTCACAGGTGACACACAGGTGACACAGGAGGTGACACAGGTGACACACAGGTGACACAGGTGACACAGGGAGGTGGCACAGGGGACACAGGTGGCACACAGGTGACACAGGGAGGAGACACACAGGTGACACAGGTGATACACAGGTGACTCAGGTGACTCAGGGATGTCACAAGTGGCACAGGTGACACAGGTGACACACAGGTGACCCAGGTGACACAGGGAGGTGGCACAGGTGACACAGGTGGCACACAGGTGACACAGGGAGGTGACACACAGGTGACACAGGTGATACACAGGTGACTCAGGTGACTCAGGGATGTCACAAGTGGCACAGGTGACACAGGAGGTGACACAGGTGACACAGGGAGGTGACACACAGGTGACACAGGTGACACACAGGTGACCCAGGTGACACTGTCCCTGTCTCAGGGGGTGATGGGTGACACACAGGTGACACACAGGTGACACAGGAGGTGACCCAGGTGTCCCTGTCCCAGGGGGTGAGGGGTGGCACACAGGTGACACAGGAGGTGACACAGGAGGCACAGGGAGGTGACACAGGTGGCACACAGGTGACACAGGGGTGGCACACAGGTGACACAGGTGACACACAGGTGGCACACAGGTGGCACAGGGAGGTGACACAGGTGACACAGGTGACACAGGGAGGTGACACAGGTGACACAGGTGACGCTGTCCCTGCCCTGTCCCCTGCAGGGCTCTGGTGCAGCAGCGTTTGGCCGCCTGCGTCAACATCGTCCCCGGAGTGACCTCGGTGTGAGTGGGGACAGCGGGGACACTGGGGGGACACTGGGGACAGCATGGGGACAATGGGGACACTGGGGACAGCATGGGGACAATGGGGACACTGGGGACAGCATGGGGACAATGGGGACACTGGGGACAGCATGGGGACAATGGGGACACTGGGGACACCGGGGACAGTGGGGATGGGGGGACAGCATGGGGACACTGGGGGGGGCAGGGGGAATACTGGGGACATTGGGGACACTGGGGACAGAGGGGAACATTGGGGCTGGTGGGGACAGGGGGGACACTGGGGGGACA